CTTATTGACCTGAACCATATTACCGAAATTTGGGGGTTTACGAGCGGGTTTAGGGTTTAGGGTTTAGGGTTTAGGGTTTAGGGTTTAGGGTTTAGGGTTCTATGAACCAAGTAGCAGCAAGGCTGAACCGGTCCATGCCCTTATGCAGAAAGCCTTTCCATGAGACTGCCATGACGACACGAAGGCTTTTAAGGACTCGGGGGTTTAGGGTTTAGGGTTTAGGGTAGAGGGCTTAGGGTTGGGTTTTGGGGTTTGGGGTTTAGGGTCTCTAAGCCACATGATCTCCAAACGACCCCCGACTAGCGCTTTGGCCTAGACCACGTGAGCCCAAACGTTCAAACCGTGAAGCTCGAAACTAGGAACGACTCTGAACTCCAAACCCAAACCCCGAAACCCTAAACCCTAAACCTCAGAGGATCCAGCCTTTAGTCGCGAAAAAACCTCACAGGACGCGTCTAAGTCACCGACATCACCATGGCTGCAGTGCAAGCCACACCTAGGCCAAGGACTTGGCGTAGACGCGGCTTAGGGCTTAGGGTTTAGGGTTTAGGGTTTAAGGTTTAGGGTTTAGGGCTTAGGGTTTAGGGTTTAGGGTTTAAGGTTTAGGGTTTAGGGCTTAGGGTTTAGGGTTTAAGGTTTAGGGTTTAAGGTTTCGGGTTTAAGTTCTTAGGGGTTGAGGACTGTACTTCTAATCCACGCTAGGGTACTTGAGGGGCCAGTGAGCGGGGTGTAGGTGTAGTTAGAACTAGGTTGTTATGAGTACTATGAACCTCCAAGAAAAATAGGCTAAAGCCACTCATAAGCCTTGCCCTTAAACACCCCCAATCGCCCCATGAATTCTTTCCCTCCAGCCAAAGACTAACCTACAGAACTTAGGACTAATTTACGTAGAGTTGAAACGGAACTTCTGTAAGTATAAGCGTTTAGGGTTATCAAAAACAAGTACTGCGTGTGTCTAAACATCTAACCCCGAAGCTTCTATTGCCTGAACGTTTTCTATGTGGATTGCTCGAAACCAGCGTCCTGCAACCAAATATGTTGGGCTTTCCTTCCAGGGATCCCCCCAGAAAGGGAACGCAATATGTCGAAACTTACGACCCTAACACCCCCAACCCCGAACCTTAAACCCCCAAGCCCGAATCTCCCCCCCCCCCAATCGTCGTAACAGGGCCAACAATAGGAAGACCGTAGGGTTCAGGGTTTCAGGCGCTCTAGAGTCTTACCGTTAACGCCTCTGGGATTCATAAGCCAAGCTTGAAGAGAATTAAGCTCGCGGGATGTCCCCCACCCCCCCCCCCCACCCCATAGAAGAAAACACGAACCCAACAGTCTAGGGCTTAGGGTCTAGACTCTTGCTGCACCAACAAAAACAACCGAAACCTTATAAAGTCTAAAGCCCTTTTAGCAGCTGCAAAGCCCAGAGTTCCAGCCTGTTTCCAAGCAAACGGCCCCTTTTTTTCCAGCAAGGCTGGCGACGCTGGCAATGGTAGGGTTTACAGTGAGCCGCCCCTTGCAGCAATCACAGAGAGCCACCCATTTTGTAGACATCCTATACTTTCTTAACCCTGGGCAGAGTCTTTTGCAATATTCCCTGGCCCTTTGTACACATAAGTCAGACATACTCCCTAAAGGAAGCCCCAGTCACCCCCTCAACCCTAAACCCTAAACCCTAAACCCTAAACCCTAACCCTAGGGGGAGGCACCTCACTGTACCACCAGGCATCCGGCAACTTGGCAGGCTTGGAGCTTCCGAGAGGATTCTACTATACCCCCCTTACAACCTTACTTAAAGAAATGCTTTTGGGGTTTAGGGTTTAGGGTTTAGGGTTATTATCTTGGCATTTCTATAGACATGACTCATTTCTAAGGGGGGTTAGAGTCTAGAGGGCATCTTCGGGTCTTAGGGTTGAGGGCTTTTTTTGGGGGGTTTAGGGTTTCGGGTGTAGAGCTTGAGGGTCTGGGCCGAGATCTCGCAAGCCCCAGCACCAATTGTCCCAGAGCGACTGCCATGTGAAACACAAACAATTGGCGGAGGAGGCGTTGATGCAGCAGGAGAACAACTCGGACCCTTTAAATGGATTCAGACATATAAACATATATGCATATATACACATATACATATATCTATATATATATGTGTGTGTAGAGCTCTATATATATATGCATGCATTTGTATGTGTATATATATATATATCGACCATAACTTGGAGAACTGACCATATAAGTTCCTAAGGGACGGTCGAATCAGTGATAGCTTCGTGCCCTTGGCATCTTTGCTGTTGGAAAGAGGCCCCACGGCTAAACCCGAAACCCGAGATCCTAAGCCCTAAACTCTAAACCCAAAGCCTCAGATGTCTAAGTGGTGCCAATGAACTCAGACCTGGAGACTCCCACCTCCCCCCCCACCCCGTCACCCTGATAAATAAGTCTTTCTCAAGTCTCAGCGGTTTCGTGTTTCGGGTTGGGGTTTGGGTTGTATCTGAAGGGTCTAAACCCTGCGGGTTAGCCCAAAAAACCAAGCTCAACCGCAAACCCGAACCCTGCGCTTGCGTAACCCACGCATTACAAGGCTGCACCCTAAACGACTATGTGCTTCAGAAACAAAAAACAAGCATATCCTTCCTTGTATGAGGGCAATTTTGGGAATACATTAATTGTTCATGTGTGTTTTGGGGGTCAGCAAATGGCAAGCAATCAAGCCAGCCAGCAGTCCCTCCGCGGGAAAGCCACGGAGTCACGGAGGCTCCTTTGCTGGGCCAGACGTCCAAGGCCCTTCCCTGAACCCTAAACCCTAAGCAACTGCCGACCTTGATGCCCTACAAGTGCCCTGACTCCCCAAAACTCAACAACCCCAAAGGCCCGAAGCCCAAACCCGAAACCCTCAAACACCAAAGGGTTTAGGGTGAAGGGTTTAGGTGTAGGATGTAGGGTGTAGGGTTTAAGGGTTTAGGGTTTAGGGGTAGTCACGTGGTCCCTTCGTGTGGGAGCTTCATTGCGTGGAACGCTTATGTACCGCTTACATACCCTTTGCAGCCCAAGGGCCCGTACTTCAGAACCCTTTTGAAGAAGGTAAGGGGCAATATCAGGGACTGTGTATCTAACCCTAAACCCTAAACGCTAAACCCTAAAATCAACAAGCATGGGCCTAGGGCCCTGAAGCGCTAGGCACAACACAGTGTGTGTGTATCTCCATAAAGAACAGCAATAAAAGTATATAAGCATAAACATCGATAGACCCCCAAAAAATGAATAAATAAATATTACATATATATCTATAAGAACCATGAAAATATGTGAACACAAATGCTTGTTTTCTTTTGAAGGGCTTGCTTGGAGCGGGGGGGGGGGGGGGGGGGGGGGCAGTATTTTGCGGGTGCTGGTGGGTACGCTCGCCTCAATCCCTAAACCCGAAAACCCTAACCCCAAACACCAAACCCTAAACCCTAAAGCCTAAACCCCAAACCCTAAACCCTAAACCCGAAACCCTAAACCCTAAGCCCCAAACCCCAAACCCGAAACCGGGCGGCGCTGCCATTGGCGAGTCGCCGGAGTTCGTCCCGCTCCTGCCAAGATCGACGTCGGAACTCGCAGCTTCCGAGCCCTAAACCCTATAGGGTTTAGGGTTTAGGGTTTAGGGTTTAGGGTTTAGGGTTTAGGGTTTCGGGTTTCGGGTTCATGGTTCATGGTACTTACTAACCAATTAGTAGAAGCCACTCGTAACCCAACTAGAACCATAGTAGGGCAACTAAGGGGCTTAAAAGTGGATTATAAGTACAGTACACCCCATACCGGATCCAAAAAAGTAGAACCCCCCCTCCCCCCAATAGTGCAGGTTTAGGGGTCAGGGTTCAAGGTTCAGGGTTTAGTGTTTAGGTCCTTAGTTCCAGGGGGTTGTAGCTTGGACCCTTCAGGTTGTACCGTTGGGTCACGTTTAAACGGCTTGAGGTAGTAGAATGGCCAAACTACGGAACCTCGAAGGGGTACAACCTCAGGGGCACGAGTCTTAACCCTTTGGAAACCATGATACCCTTGAACCACTTAAACCCCTCAAGCCCCATCAACTCCCTAGGTTCCTGAAACCAACTGCTGAGGGGTTAAGGTTTAGAGTAACCTTCAGCCCTAACCCTACACCCCAAACTCGAAACCCTAAACCCTCAACCCTTATTATTAACCCTAGACCCTAAACCTCAACCCTCAACCCTAACCCTAAACCCTTAACCCCAAACCCTAAACCCTAAACCCTAAACCCTAAACCTCAACCCTAAACCCTAAACCTCAACCCTAAACCCTAAACCCGCAACTGCCGGGTTGTAAAACCGGCAATTTCAGCGGCCCTCGCGGCTGAAAAGATGTCGGTGCCAATGCTTTTTGGAAGGAAGGTTTAGGGTTTTGGGGGTTTAGGGTTTATAGGGCACCCTAAACCCTAAACCCTAAACCCTAAACCCTAAACCCTAAACCCTAAACCCTAAACCCTAAACCCTAAACCCTAAACCCTAAACTTATAGGCTTTATAGGGTCTAGGGTCTGGTCCTTTGGGTTTGGGATGAGGTGTGGGGCTCAGAGGCCTGACTTGCTCAGTTGCTTCGGGGGGGAACGCTCGGTTGGCTTCTGGATGTACGGTTTAGGGTTTAGGGTTTAGGGTTTAGGGTTTAGGGTTTAGGGTTTAGGGTTTAGGGTTTAGGGTTTAGGGTTTAGGGTTTAGGGTTTATGGTTTAGGTTTTAAGGGGGGGGGGGGGGGGTGGGGGGGGGTTCCGAAATTAGGGGTATCATTGGTGTCCCTCTTGTAGGGGAACCTACTATTTGGGGGGGTGTATATTAAGGGTCCTGTATGGTCGTAAACTCCCATGTACTTAGGTGCTTAGTAGTACGCAAACTTGGCGGGACTTTGGCACCTTCTCAAAAATGGCTGCTGGCTACCTTGCCGCGACCCTTTCTGTACAGCTCAGGATCTAAGGCTCCAGCAGAGGATAGAATGTCAGAGGTCAAAAGATACCCGGCGGCTAAAAGGACTCCATTGCTCCCTAGGCCTGAGGCTTTGATAGTGTGAAGCTATACTTGGAGGCTCATGGTACGTAATCACCCCCAACTATGACTGTACATATCACCCAGCTCTAACCATATTAGCTACTTCAGGGGCGTATGAGTGGACTACAAGAAGTACAGAACTAATCGGGGGTTAAGTTCCCCAGAACTTCGAAGTAAGCACCCCAGAACGCAGACCAGCTTTTCTCTGCAGCGAGCCATTGCACCCCTGACATGGCGGCTGAATTCAACTCCCCGAGAAAGCGTGCAGTAGGACTCCACAAGCAGCTTGCGCCACATGCTCCCACCGCCACGTGCAAGGAAAGGACATCCGGCCTCAGCTGGGCTTCGGACATGCGCCCCAGCAACTGCATCACCATCAGCCACTGTCCGCCCTTCTGACAGGCGCCAATGGCAGAGTTGAAGCTGACCAGACCAGCCATGAGCCTGAATGTAGGCATCAACGCCAGCAGCAGCAATGCTACTTGCCACTGGCCAGCTGTCTCGCAAGCGCTCATGCCCGCACTGATGCTAATCTCATCGGGCAAGAGCCTACTCTTCAACAGGTCCGACATCAAAAGCAACGCCAACTGCCATTGTCCTCCCTGCTCGCTGGCGCTTATGCCGGCAGTGAGGCTGACTTGGTCAGGCACACACCTCACAGCTGGCATTTCCAACAACACATGCAATGCCCACCGCCATTGGCCACCCCTCACGCATGCACTGATAAACGTGCTGAAGCTAGTCCTGGGTTGCCCGGTATCCCTGGTAAAAATAATGTCTGTGATAAGTTTTGAACTACCTCTAGCACAATGGGAACCCTAAACCCTAAAAACCTGCTTCCCCCCTCTCCCGCCCAACAAAACAAGAAGTCGTAGTAGTAGTAGTAGTAGTAGTAGTAGTAGTAGTAGTAGTAGTAGTAGTAGTAGTAGTAGTAGTAGTAGTAGTTGTAGTAGTAGTAGTAGTAGTAGTAGTAGTAGTAGTAGTGGTAGTAGTAGTAGTAGTAGTGGTAGTAGTAGTAGTAGTACTACTACTACTACTACGACTACGACTACTACTACTACTACTACTACTACTACTACTACTACTACTACTACTACTACTACTACTACTACTACTACTACTACTACTTATAGGCATAAGAATACTGCGACTACTGGCATGAAGAACAGCCTCGCGTCTGATCCGGCACCACCCCAGTTGCCTGCATCTCTGTGAACCTCGACATTTCGCAGCATTGAATATCTTAGGGTTTAGGGTTTAGGGTTTAGGGTTTAGGGTTTAGGGTCATAACAGCAGCAAATGGTATCAAGCAAGGTTTGGTGCTCAAGCCTCTGAGGCTGGGCTTTAGGGTTTAGGGGGTTTCGGGTTTAGGGTTTAGGGTTTAGGGTTTAGGGACTGCAAGGAAGACACAAACGACTCAAAATTGAGACGCAAGGAACACATGCAAGGCGACCGCCCACTGCCCAGTTCGCTCGCAGGCGCTGAGGCCGGCATTGAAGCCTCGGGCGCCAAGTATCCGGTTTGGGGTTGTAAGGCCAGAAAAGGAAAAAGTGCACTCCACGGCTGCTCTGCAAGGGATCAACATTTATAAGGGTGCCCAACCCACGAAAGGATGCAAATAAGCGTTGACTCGATGTTCTAGGAGCTGATCTCATCAGGTACCAGGCCCTCAGTGGGCATAGCCGCCAAGAAGTGCAACGCCAGCTGCCATTCCCGCAGCTTGCCACAGGCGCTCATAACCTCGGCAGCAATTAGGATACGAGCCTGTAGTTGACAAAGTCCCCAAGAGTAGCTATGGATAGATCCCTAAATGAAACCAATAAAGCAACTTGACAAACTATCCCAAAGCTGCCGCCCAGTTGGGAGTTTGGGGGTTCAGGGCCCAGGGAGTCCAGTGAGATATAAAAAAGCACTCAGAGTCAAACAAAAAAAACCCAAGGGGGATTCAGGGCTCAGGGCTTAAGGGGGGCCACTGGGCCAGCAGCGGAGTTCCAGGAAATCTCGTTCGCCTGAACTGTCGCTCTCGGCATGAGAAACATGAGGTGTAGGGCCATCTCCCACTGCCCGCCCTTCTCACATGCACTGATGCCCGCATTGAAGCTCATCGTGTCCGGCCATACCTGGGTTGGCCTTTAAACCCTTTGAAAATATCTATATCTATATATACATATATATATATACATATAGGGTCCCGTGTAAACCCAAATAAGGAAATGTAACATGTGCCAAAAAGCCAAGCTAGATACGCGTGCCACAGCCATGGCCGACAGCAAGAGCAGCGCCACCTGCCATCTGGCGCCCTTCCTTACTTCTCCAATAGCCAAGGGAAACAAAACAAAAGGTTAAACTTTACTATTCCTACTAAACAAGGAAAGCCAAAAAAGGTTAACTACATTCTTCCTACTAAATAAGGTTAAACTTTATTGTTCCTACTAAACAAGGAAAGCCAAAAAAGGTTAACGTCTACTATTCCTACTGAATATAAAGAAACCCAAAAAGTTGATATAAGTTCAGCTCTTGGAGAAGTTTCTGGCACGCGCTGATGGCTGCGTTGAAGCTGAACTGGTCGGGACAAGCTTGGGCTGCAGGCATTGCCTTACTTCTCCAATAAGCAAGGGGGAAAATTTAGGGTTTAGGGTTTAGGGTATAAATTAAACCCAAAAAGTTGAAAGTTCAACTAAAGGCGAAGTAAGTTGCAGAGAGCAATGCCAGAGCCTTCTGCCATTGTCCGGCTTTTTCACACGCACTGATGCTAGCACTCCAACTGATTACATGGGGAAAGAGAGTTGCTGTTGGCATCCGTTGCAGTAAGCGCAGAGCTTTTCGCCATTGCCCGCGCTTCTCACAGGCGCTGATACCAGCACTGAAACCGATTTCGCCCACGTTCAGCCGGGAAGAAGGGACCGCAAACAAGAGAGACAAAGCAATCTGCCATTGCCCGCCTTTCTCGCACGCACTGATCTCAGCACACAGACTGATTTTGTCGAGCCTTAGCTTTGGAGTAGACGCTGGAAAAAAAGGTATATACGTTTTAGGTGTAAGTAGCTATAATAGGAAACCAGAACCAAACAAAGTATTGAAGTAATAGTACTCCAAGACCCAGGAGCTGAACCCAAGAGCTACGCATCTCCGAGATGAGGTGCAACGCAGCCTGCCACTGTCCCGCGCAACCGCATGCGCTGATGGCAGCATTGTAGCTGAACCTGGTTCACGGTTTAGGGTTTAGGGTTTAGGGTTTATTAGGGTTTAGGGTTGTGCGGGAAGTAACCTAGAGACTCCAATATACCTTAGTTCGGTAAGGATCCTTAAATTGTAGCAGGGATCCCTTACTACAACATTCCGAATTTTTCTAATTATTACGGATTTTGGAGTCTCTCGTAAGGGTAGGGGCGTAGTGCTTAACTATCCGAACTGGTTTTAAGGTGGGGAGTTTGGAAAAAAACGGCTTGGCATGAAAAGGGACGCTGCAATGGGTCTACAGCTTTGGTTTCATTGGGTTTTAGGGTTTAGGACTAGGGCTGAGGGCCAGCAGACGTGAGTCGAGCTGTTAGAAAAGAACCACATGCACATTGCAAAGGTTTGAGGCTTTCCAAGCACAGAAAATCTGAACCCCACAAACCCTATAAACCCTAGAAACTCTGTAAATCCCATAAACCCTATAAACCTTATAAACCCTATAAACCCTATATACCTCATAACTCCTAAACCCTAAACTAACTTGCTCCTGAACCCGTTCCCTTTCTCAGGGCCCTGAGGGCTGATCTGCATTCTAGATCAGCCCTTCTTAGTTTAGGGGTTAGGGTTTAGGGTTCAGGGTTCAGGGTTTAGGGTTTAGCGTTTGGGGTTTAGGGTGAAGGCCACCATAGGAGACTAGATAATCACTAGTCAATCATTCATACGATCTCCCTAAACGCCCCTGCGCAAGTATGAAAAAACCTTGTGAGTTTCCCTACTACCCCCCTCTAGACTACCCCCCCCCCCCCCCCCCCCCCAAGGTTCCCCCCTTAAAGAAAATTAATTGGGTTTGATTATCCTTAAATGGCCTTAATTATGGTGGGAACCGGGGGGGGGGGGGGGGGGTGGGGGCAGTATAAAGGGGGATAGTAGGGGAACGCATGAAAAACCTTGAGAGCGTACAAAGTACGCTGTTTCGCCTTCATCGCACGGCCTTCCGCCCACATTAGGCCAAAGATACCCATTCCAGCCTGGGCCTAAATAGTCCCTTAAGCCTCAAACCCTCAACTCTAACTGAACCCTCAGCCCCAAACCCTCAACTCTAAACCCTAAGCCCTAAACCATCATCTCTAAACCCTCAACTCTACACCCTAAGCCCCAAACCCTCAACTCCACACCCTAGACCCTAAACCCTGCAAGCCCTAAGCCCTCTCAAATCGGCCCGAAACTCGTTGGGGTCAAGCTTGGCCGAAACCATGGCCGATAGAATGCTCAGTGCCAGCTGCCACTGCGCACCGTCCTGGCAAATCTTCTGCAAGTGTTAGAAACCCTACCTTGGCTTTGGAGTAGACCCTGAAAAAAGTATATATTTTTAGGTATAAGTAGCTATAATAGGAACCCAGAACCAAAAAAGTATTAAAGTATAGTACTCCAAAACCCAGCTACTCAGCCCCGCAACCTACATGTGCGGTTTTTGGATTTGGGATTTCAGGGCTTGATTGAGGTTTAGGGTTCAGGGTGGGGAGCGTCAGGTCTTTGATTGGGGGGCTGTCGAATGTTAGGAACTGAATACTTTCAGCACCACGCAGTCCTCGCACGCACTGATTCCCGCACTGAAGCTGATTTGATCCTTTGTTGGCCCTTTAAGCCCTCGGAAAGATGTTTCTAGGATTATGACTCTCTTAAATCCGATAGGAGAAAATAGAAATGTCCCAAAGGCCTACTTAGGATCTGGCACCACGCGGGCCACTGGCATCTGGGACAAGAGCTGCAAGGCTTTCGGCCACTGTCTGCCATGTTCACAGGCAGTCATGCCTCAACTACGGTCGCAGTCCCTTTGGGGTTCCTAAAAGTTCGAGCGTTTCAGGGTAGATGGTGGAGGGTTGAAGGTTTCAGGTGTAGGGTTGTAAGGGAGAGAAAGCAACTCAATCTGTTGTCAATTGCGGCCTAGTGGCTGGCATTGAACGTGCACTCATCTGGCGTCACTCGTGCTTCAGGCATTGTAGACCTTGGTAGCCTAGCAAACATCTTAAACCCTTTTTGCAACTCTTCCGGTACCGAAAATTCGTGCACCCCTCCCCTCCCCTTGGGGGACCTGCCCGAACCAGACTCTCTTTGAAGGACACTGGGACGCTCATGGCACCCCCTATACGGGACGAACTTCTTCCATAAGTTCACAACAGCCATCTGGCGCGGACTGCGGCGCCGTCCGACGCTGTACAAGGTAACCCTGAACCAAAACAACAAGGCACAAAGGGTACCACTTGGCGAGCAAGAGACAGAAGGTATATGGCCAGCTGCCAATGTCCACTTCTTCCGCATGCGCTGATGCAAGCATTGAAACCTAAACCCAGGAGTAACCTAGGAATAAAAAAGGGTGCCCTTTTTGGTTTTAAGGGGATTATAGGGGAACCCCAACCTTAAAAAAAAGAAATAAGGGCCTACTCCGGGTCCTAGAAACTGATCTCGTCGGATGCGACTTGGTCTGCGGACATTTGCCACAACCTAGGTTGGCCTCTAAACCCTTTGAAAAGGAAGTATTTTGCGTATAGGGTCCCTTACAAACCCAAATACGGAGAAGACAAAGATATCCCCCAAAGCCAGCTTCTATTTTTGTATATCTAGGGTCCCTTATAAACCCTAAATAAGGAAAATACAAAAAACTATCCCTAAACCCGAAACCCTAAACCCTAAACCCTAAAACCCCAAAAGCCAACCAAGCCACAGCCGAAGAGCCCTCTGCCACTGCGCACTCTTGGTGCAGGCGCTGATGCAAGTGTTGAAGCCTTGGTAGACCAGTCTCCATATGAGTGGTTGTCAAAATTATGGTCCCTTTTTGGATCCCTATTATAATACGGCACCCCCAAAAGGGATCATAATGTTGACAGCCGCCCAATATCAACAAAAAGGGCACCCCTTTTTTTGGTTGGGTACTTTGTAAGGGAACCCTGAACCAAAACAAAGGGAAAAAGGGTACCACTGGGCTCTTTAAGAAGCTTCTGTCATCACAGGAAGCTCTGAGCGCGGGCATATCCTGGGTTGGCCCTTTAAAAGCCCTTTGAGACATCTTCATATATAGGGTCCCTTATACACCCAAATGAAGGAAAATAGAGAATGCCCCCTAGTACTTTTATATTCGGGTCCCTTGTAGACTCAAGTAAAAGGACAAAATGTCCCAAAAGCAACCTAGTATCTGACAGTAGTTGCAAAGCCATCTGCCAATGTCCGGCTCTCTCACAGGCGCTGATGCTGGCGTTGAAGCCTTCGTTGCTGAGTTCATAAGCCCCCCAAAAAGTGTACACTTTCAGCTCTCTGTAGGGGAGTAGAGTATCCCAACAAGGTGTAAAAGTGTACACTTTCAGCTCTCTGTAGGGGATTAGAGTATCCCAACAAGGTGTAAAAGTGTACACTTTCAGCTCTCCATAGGGGATTATAGAGTATCCCAAAAAGTGTAAAAGTGTACACTTTCAGCTCCCTGTAGGGGATTAGATTATCCCAAAAGGTGTAAAAAATGTACACTTGCAGCTCTTTATAGGGGACTAGAGTATCCCAAAAGGTGTAAAAAGTGTACTTTCAGCTCTCCATAGGGGACTAGAGTGTCCCAAAAGGTGTAAAAGTGTACCTAAATAAACCCTAAACCCTAAACCCTAAACCCTAAACCCTAAACCCTAAACCCTAAACCCTAAACCCTACACCCTAAACCCTAAACCCTAAACCTAAACCGCTCAGCTGCTCAGAAGCTGACGCTATCTGGGCTCGCTCGGCTCTCCGGCATCGCGTGGAGAAGCCTTGGGTTCAGGGAGGTTTAGGGTTTAGGGTTTAGGGTTTAGGGTTTAGGGTTCAGTGAGGTTAACTGACGCGTCGGATGCAGGGAGCGAGGGAGGGAAGGAGGGAGGGAGGGAAGGAGTGAGGGAGGGAGATTAGAGAAATCGACTCAGGCAGCATCATGTCTCATACTTACTGCGGGAAAAGGCTGACCTGTGGGAGGGGTTGTGAAGTCACAAGGAACTGCGGAGTTTAACAGGGCAGAATGCCCAGCAGAAGGCCTTCGCAAGCCCAAATACGCCGCCTCAATACCGGAAACACAACTTTAACACTTTCAGAGTTGTACTAAAACTACAGGTTTCGGGTTTGGGGTTTAAGGTACACAACATGGCAGAAATCCCCAAACCCTAAAGCCCTCAGAAATGCGACCTGGGAGAACACGACCCGAAACCCCACACCAAAATCAAAAACAAATCTGGGATTTAGGGCTTGCAGGACCCAAAAGCCCTCAACCCTAAGGCCTCCCAACGAGCCCCATACCCCGTACGTAATTAAAGGAATATACATTAAAGTCATATTAAAGGACCCCGCTAGAAAAAACATATATAAATCTATAGATATCCTGTTTATATTTGATGTATATATGTATAGATATATATATATATATGTATATATCAATATTGATATCATTTAGGGCATGCATTCGTTAAATTAGTCTATTGGGGCTCTTCTGGGTTATCTGAACAAAATGCCAAGACGCTCCAGGGCTGACTGCCACTGCAGACCACAACCACAGGCCTGGGTGGGGGGGGGCGAACTCAAAAGACACTGTGTTCGAAGCAGAGCCGCTCAAGGCCCTCAACTCCTAACCCCCCGAACCAACCCTCAACCCCTTCGGGTTTAGGGTTTAGGGTTTAGAGTTTAGGGATTAGGGTGTCTTCTAGGGTCCTTAAGGGGGGGGGGGGGGGGGGTTAAGCGGGTATGTAACCCAAGGTTCCCTATTACTCCCTACTCCTCTCTAAGGCTCCCTCAGCTTCCTTAAGGGTTCCCCTAAACCCTAAACCCTAAAGCCTAAACCCTAAACCCTAAACCCTAAACCCTGAACCCTGAACCCTAAACCCTAAACCCTAAACCCTTCCTTGGAGCCCCCTTCCCTTAAGATCCCCATGAGGGTGGCTTTGCTGGCGAACTCGAAAGAATCTTAAACTTGTCTGCAAACCCTAAACCCCGAACCCTAAACCACCCCAAAAAACCCAAGAACCATTCCAACCCTAAGCCCTAAACCCTCCGAAACCTTAGACCCTAGACCCTAAACCCTACATCCTAAACCCTAAAAACCCTAAAGCCCTAAAAACCCTAAAAACACTAAAAACCCTTAAACCCTAAAAACCCTAAACACCCTAAAAACCCGAAAAACCCTAGAAACCCTAAAAACCCTAAAAACCCTAAAAACCCTAAAAACCCTAAAAGCCCTAAAAACCCAAAAAACCCTAAACCCTAAACCCTAAACCCTAAACCCAAGAGGCGGTGATGGCCGCGTTGCAGCAATAGATGTCCAGCTCGGCGGCATCTGCTAGGATCCTAAGAGGCTGCAGGGTTTTGAGGGTTGAGGGTTTAGGGTTTAGGGTTCAGGGTTTAAAAGTTTAGGGTTTAGGGTTTAGGGCTTCCGAGGCTTCAGGGTCCGCCTGGCGTTCTGGAGGTGAAAACCTCTTTCCCTCCTTATTTCTGGGGGGGGGGGGGGTAGGGGGGGGTACCCCGGCAGCTTTTCCGTGGAGGACAGCACCCCACCGCGCAAACTATGGACCTAGCCCATTCGCACAGGGCATAGGGGGTTTTTTTGAAAAAACCCAACCCCCTTACCCACCCCCACCCACCCCCCCCCCCCCCTACCCGCCCACACCCCCTAACCCCCCACCCCCCCCTACCCCCCCTGCCCCCAAGGACCGGCCAAGGCACCAGGCTGGCCGCCCCCCCCCCCCCCCCCCACCCAGACCCGAACCGCAAACCCAATCCACCAAACCCCAAACCTTAAACTTGTTCTCCTGCGGGCTCGGCAGCTTGAGCCAGGGGTTTAGGGTTTAGGGGTTTAGGGTTTTAGGGGTTTTGGGTTTAGGGTTTGGGGCTTGGGGTTTAGGGTTTGGGGTTCATATTAACGATCCGTAATAGGAATTGTAATCGGGGGGAATTTAATCCCTATGAAGGACTGCTAGGATAAGGGGGAACGTCCCAAGGCTTACGGTTTAGGGTTCGGGGGGTTGGGATTTAGGGTTTAGGATTTAGGGCTTCAGAGGCTTCAGGGTTTTTGGGTGGGTCTTACGGGTCAGGGTTCAGCTTCTCCAGCTTTCAAGGGGAGGGGTAAGGGTTAAGGGTTAAGGGTTTCGGGCTAAGGGTTAAGGGCTTAGGCTTCAGGGTTTTGGGGGGTTGGGGTTTGGGGTTTACATTTTGGGGTTTAGGGTTTTGGGTTTGGGGTATAGGGTTCTGGGCTTATGGCTTCATAGGTTGAGGGTTTTGCGGGGCTTGCGGTTTAGGGCTTGGGGCTTCGGGGGCTTGGAATTTAGGGTTTTGGGATTTGTGTGTTTAGAGTTTCGGGTTTAGGGCTTCAGAGTTTGAGGGTTTTGGGGGCTTGGTGTTTAAGGGGGCTTGGGGTTTAGGGTTTTGGGGGTTTTGCGTTTGGGGTTCCGGGCTTCAGGGTATGGGGGCTTGGGGGTTTGGGGTTTTAGGGTCTAGGGCTTCTTATAGGGTTTAGGGTTTAAGTTTTGGGGTTTGGCGGTTTAAGGATTCGAGAAAAGGCCTCGTTTTGGGGTTTTGGGTTTTGGTTCTAGGGCTGCATGGGTTTGATGGTTTTGGGGGCTGAGGGTTTGGGGGCTTGGGGTTTCGGGGTTCGGGCTTCGGGTGCTTGAGCAGTCGCAACTACTGTAGGGGTTTAGGTATCCCAAATAAGGCTACTAACTGCTTGTAGCTTTAGCGTTCCTACTGCCGGGTTGAAGGGTTCAAGGGTGTTTAAGGACTTTTATGAGCATTCGCCCTACCCCAAACAAACCCCAAACCCTAAACCCTAAACAGCCTTCAGATTCTCATCCCTTTGAAGGCACACTAAAAGCATGACCCTCTTCCAGACAAATGCGTAAACAAATCGCACCGCGAAACCCGCACCCTAAACCCCTTAAGAATCCAAAACCTACTTTTTTTTTGTACAAAACCCTTATTATGGGAATCTTGGCTAACCTAACAAAGAAGTACCTTTTGGAGTTCTTGGGATACAGGCTAGAGTATCCTAAGCGCCGACCCAGGATCTCCAGGGCAGCCTGCCACTGACGTGCCCTGCCGCAGGCAACGATGGCGCGGCTGGTGGAGTGCAGCTCGTTCGAGAGGGCCGAGCCCTATCAGGTTGAGAGGCTTGGACCCTAAACCCTAAAACCTAAGCCCTAAGCCCTAAACCCTGAGCCCTAAACCCTAAACCCTAGACCCTAAAATTTCGGGGTATGCTATCTAGATCTTCCCAGAGGTTTCGGAACAGAAGGGTCCCCGTCCTTCCGTTGCTTGCTTGAGACACTGTCGCCTGCGACTCCCAACCAGCCACATTGGTGGAGGTAGCAAATCATACCCTAAACCCTAAACCCTAAACCCTAAACCCTAAACCCTAAACCCTAAACCCTAAACCCTAAACCCTAAACCCTAAACCCTAAACCTCAAATCATAATAGGATCCCTGTGCAAATTGAAGCAAGCTAACCCTGAGCTGGCTGATATACCAGTCGGATGTTACGAAGCTTCGTCGCGGATTCTAGGCATCACCAGACACTCAAACCCTCAAACCCTGGACTCCTCAACACTCAATCTTAAACCCTAAACCCCTAAACCCTGGCCCTAAACCCTAAACCCTAAACCCTAAACCCTGACCCCTAAACCCCTAAGCCCCGAAACCCCAATGCCGGGAATGCTGGATATATGGCCTCAGCAGTCGGGCAGTAGTAGCAAGACGTTGTGTTGTCGACGGCTTGGTTCCAACATGAAGTAGGGTTTAGATTTCTTGTACCCCCCAAAAGGACACCAAAGATATGCTTCTGCGGTTCAGGGTTTAGGGTTTAGGGTTTGGGGTTTAGGGTTAAGGTTTAGGGTTTAGGGTAAGTCAACGGCCACTCCCGGAAACCTTAAGACGACCTTTAGCGCTGGTGTGGACAGAGCTGGTCAGAGCTGTCAGGGACAGGGTTCCCACAGGGCCTTGCTGGAGATGTTCCTCGCCTGAGCGCTAGCATACTATCCCTAAACCCTAAACCCTAAACCCTAAACCCTCAATCCGTGCAACTCATACAAAACTCCCGGCGTTGGCTCCTCGGTAGATACCGGGCCACGGCGTTCGCGGTTTGCGAAGTCGTAGAGCGGATTCCTAGGCTCTTGAGACAGCGAGAAGCCAAAGTCTTATAGATTTCGCCAAAAAAGCCTTAACCTTCCACTCAACCCCAAGCCCCTAAACCCTACCCCGCATGCTACTTAAGCCTACCTTAAACCCTACACCCCCATCCCTAAACCCTCAACTTAGGGTTTAGGGTTCAGGGCTTAGGTTTTGGGTTAAGGTAGGGCTTAGTGATCTCCGGGGTTCAGGGTGTTGGGCTTAGGGTGTTTAGGGTCTGCGGCGGGTTTTCTGGGCTTCAGAATTCAGGGCTCGAGATTGGTTTGAGGGCCCTGGATCCTGGGTTTTAGGGTTCTGGAAGTTCAAGTTTCAGGTTTTCAGGTTCCAGATTTTCGGGGAGAGAGAGAGAGAGAGAGAGAGAGAGTCTTGAACACCCCAGCTGGGGCTGCAACTTTGGCACCTGGCCCAGATGTAACCTCAGCCGCCTACAAAAAGGCCAAGGATGCAAGGTTGAAACAATAAAGACCCACCCTGGGCCCTAAGCCTTGTGCCCCAAACCCTAAACCCTAAACCCGAAGTCCAACTGGTTCTTTTGTCCACCCCGCACTTTTAGGGTTTAGGGTGGTGTAAAGGGCTGAGCATACAGAGGTTTTAGGGTCCAGGGTTGGGGAACCCTAAGCCCGAAACCTTTTAAGCCCTATAAACCCTAAACCATAAACCTGTAAACATAAGGAGATTCAGTGATTTCGGATGTTCATGGATGTTAACCTTTTAAGCCCTCGAAACCCTAAACCATAAACCTGTAAAATAAGGAGATTGAGAGATTTCGGATGTTTATGGATGTTGGGCATGTTGGGAACCGTGGCATGGTCCCCGGGGCTTCTCAGGAGGCTGGGCCTCTTGAGACCTTGCTGAATAGGGTTTAGGGTTTAGGGCTTAGGGTTTTAGGGTTTAGGGTTTAGGGTTTAGGGTTTAGGGTTTAGGGTTTAGGGTTGAATAGGTTTTGGGTTTTGGGTTTAGCCCTAAACCCTAAACCCTCAACCTTAAAAACTGGCCGAAATTTAGCTTCGAGGTTGCGGGTACGGGATCTCTGGGTTGATATTTCATTTCGGGTTGATATGTGCCCCGAATAGTAGGATTCCTTTGTGCAAAAAAACCAACAAGGTACCCAATGCGCAGTGGCGCGTCCAGCTGCAAAGCAGCACATACTAACTGCGGAAGGCATCGTCACGGAATAGCTCAGGGCGCAAGCAGCGCGCAGCAAGCAAGGTGGGGACCGGAATGGACACTAGCCGAGAAGGGCATCTTTCTTTCGGTTGCAGGTTGCAGGTGCCACGTCCTGAAACCTTAAACCCTAAACCCTAAACCCTAAACCCTAAACCCTAAACCAGAAGGACGAAGAACCACCCGGACTAGGGTTGAGGGTGCCCTAGGTTCCACCACCACCCAAGAACCACCGGGATTAGGGTTTAGGGTTTAGGGTTTAGGGTTTAGGGTTTAGGGTTTAGGGTTTAGGGTGCCCTAGGTTCCACCATCATTCGTTCTCGGGTAGGGGGTAGTCAGGCGGAGGGAGGATCACAGGGCAAAACGAGCTCACAAGCAGCGACTCAGAGAACGGAGCTCTCCAGTAGGGTTTGGGGTTTCGGGTTTCCCTAAACCCTAAACCCTAAACCCTAAACCCTAAACCCTAAACCCTAAACCCTAAACCCTAAACCCTAAACCCTAAACCCTAAACCCTAAACCCTAAACTTCATGGTTTAGGGCTTTAACGTGCAGAACATCGAGGCCAAACATCTTCATGACTCTGTGGCGCAGTGCCCCAAACCCTAAACCCTAAACCCTAAACCCTAAACCCTAAACCCTAAACCCTAAACCCTAAACCCTAAACCCTAAACCCTAAACCCTAAACCCTAAACCCTAAACCCGGTTGGCTACGTCAAAATCCTCTGAGGAGGATAAGATACATGGGGGGTTTCCGAAAAATAGGGGTACCCTTTCTAGGGTTTCCTTTTTTAAGGGGATTCGATTCTATTTGGGGGTAAACAAGGGGTACCCCGATTTCGGGAAATGCCCACTCTTAAACTTTGAGGGTTTAGGGTTTAGGATTCTAGGATTTTAGGGTTTAGGGTTCTTTTTTAGGATTCTAGGATTGTGGGGTTTAGGTTTAGGGTTCTTTTTTAGGATTCTAGGATTTTAGGGTTTAGGGTTCTTTTTTTTGGATTCTAGGATTTTAGGGTTTAGGGCAGTTTAGGGTTCTTGTTAGGATTCTAGGATTTTTAGGGGGAAGGGTTCCTTTTTAGTGTTTTGGGCTTTAGAGCTCTAGGCTTGGTACTGCCGAGGCAGGGATCAAGACGCCGGATGCGCGGGGGGGCGTGGCCTCGTCTGCGGCTCAGCTGGGGTTGAGGGTTTGCGGGTTGGGGTTTGGGGTTTAGGGTTTGGGGTTTGGGGTTTAGGGTTTGGGATGTTGGGGGTGGTGGTGGTGGTGGTGGTGGTGGTGGTGGTGGTGGTGGTGGTGGTGGTGGTGGTGGTGGTGGTGGTGGTGGTGGTGGTGGTGGTGGTGGTTGTGGTTGTGGTTGTGGTTGTGGTTGTGGTTGTGGCTGGTGGTGGGTGGTGTGGTTGTGGTTGTGGTTGTGGTGGTTGGGGGGGTGGAGGGGGGGGGGGGGGGGGGGGGGGGGGGGGGGGGGGGGGGGGGGGGGGGGGGGGGGGGGGGGGGGGGGGGGGGAGGGGGGGGCCTGGGGAGGGTTCCCGCTAGAGATATTTTGATCGCCTAACACATGCAGCACCAGAACCAGAAGCAACATTTCACTGTAGAGTCTCCTCGCCTGGCTCTTCCGAAAGTGCGAACTATTTCTCAAAGTGGGTTATGGAAAAGCCCTTGCTGAAACTGAGAACTGAAGACCCTAGGCCTAGGCACGCAAAAAGTTCAAACTGCCTTGACTGCTATAACTCCCAAAGCCTGTGCAGTGGACACTCTCCTTCCTCGAGAGCATGGCGTTCCATATCAAAAATATTAAAATAGCCACAGGCCCCGTTATGCCACCAAGGACCCTGGCAAAAGTTGCTCCGGGAGAAGGGGGGGAAGCGGGGAGTTTGGAATCAAGCCGAAAAACTCTCAACCCCACACCCTGAACCCTGAACCCTGAACCCTGAACCCTGAAACCCGAATTGAACCCAAAGATGCAACTCTTTTCTATGTCGGCGGCCTTTCTGTGCAGTGACCGCAGGGTCTTTGTTGTAGCGGCGTGTTCTGTGCAGGGACGCCGTTGTTGAATGCAAGTGGCTTTTTCGCTCAAATACTAAAACTTGCTTAAGAATCCCCAAAAAACACAGAATGTTCTTCCTTATAAGCGTAATATAGGGATTCTGATCTTCTACTCTTTTGGGGTTCTTAAGCAAATAGTAGAAGACGGCGGCTGCCTGTAACGCCAGCCGCCGCAATTCCACAGGCGCGCAGCAGCAGGGATCTCTGTCCACTCTGCTTCATGCCTTACAGCCATCTAAGACTAGCTTTAGAAACCCGACAGCAACACACAAATATGATTGTGATTTGCAACTACCTTCCAGGGACGACTTCCATTTTCAGGAGGCTCCTTAAGCCAAGTCCTAGTCACGCAAGGAGGCATGCTGCTGAGCAGCATGCAAAAATGGACACTTAAGGTAGAGTGATGAGCAACCCAAATGCGCTCAGCTCACTTTGACAAGCCGTGCGAACTGCTGCAGCAAGTCCTTGCCACCTGCCGGTTGATCGAAATTCAGCTTGGGCTAAGGTTCAGCCAGGGTCAAGGGGTTCAGGGTTTAAGGTTCAGGTTTCAAGGTCTTAGGAATTAGGCTTTCTTTGACTTCTTACCCCCTAAGCTCTAAACCCTAAACCCTTAACAGCGGGGTCCCTGTTTGTTTTTCGGAAAACCTACCCTACACCCTCAAACCTCAAACCTCAACCCTCAACCCTCAAGCCTCAAGCCTCAACCCTCAACCCTCAACCCTCAACCCTCAACCCTAAACCCTAAACCCTAAACCCCCCAAGAAAAGAAAGCTGGTGCTATGACCCTCAGGGAACCCCGGAGTAGCGAATTCGCCAAATCCCTGAACCCTAAAGGGTTCAGGCTTGAGGGTTTAGGGTTTAGGGTTTAGGGTTTAGGGTTTAGGGCTTGGGGTTTAGGGTTTAGGGTTTAGGGTTTAGGGTTTAGGGTAACAACCGTGAACCCTGGAACGAACCCAGGGTATACCCCGAACCCAAACCCCAAGTAAACCCGAAACCACGAAACCCTTGACCTTTCAGAAACCCAGCTACAATATATGGTAACTTGTAGAGTTTAGGGTCTAGGGCTTACGGTAAGATAAGGGCCTTGAACGGAGGGTACCAGGTCATAGGGGGTTCATGGTATTTCTAAGAAGAACAAAGCCTCGCCTCTCTTGGGGTGACGCGGGCAGCAGTCGTGCTGATCTTCAAAGCGATGCCTGGGTGTGGCCAGGGCTGAACGGTTTAGGGTTCAGGGTTTAGGGTTGAGGATTTAGGGTTTAGGGTTTAGGGGTAAAACTAGTCCCTAACGGTAGTTCTATGGGCCCTAATATGGGCCGTTACCTCCTTGAAGTATGAGTATGGGCCCTTGCTCCTTGTAAGGGCCCATACGAAGGGTACGGCTGTTTGGGGTCCAGGGCTTAGGGCGGCTGACTGCCCGTATTCTCACTTAGAGCTGCTGAAGGAAGATAGAAAAGAACACATGAACAGGATTTCTCCACTCGAGAACCCGGATGCTTCAAGCACACCTTGAGTCCACAGGTACCACAGTCGCAGGAGTTGGAGAAGGTGAGCTTCTCCTTGCAGCCCTTCACGGGGCACCGGTTCGGCTTCGTTGCCTGCTTGGGAACGCAGCTTCCGCTGGTTGCCTTAGCTTTCTTCAACCCCGAAACCCTAAACCCTAAACCCTAAACCCTAAACCCTAAACCCCTGGGGCCACCTAGAAGGCATGACCCGATTAAAGTTCAGGTTTTGGGGGTGAGGGATTTAAGGTTTAGGCTTGGGGTTTAGGGATTTTGGGGTTAGGGTTTGGGGTTTGGGGTTTAGGGTTTAGGGTTTAGGGTTCAGAAGCTGCAACTACCAGCAGTGACGAAAAAAATGCGCTTCCGAGTTGCATGCCGCTCCCACACTTGGTTCTCGTCCTCGCCGTGCGCCAGCGGAACCGCCGCAGAGCAAAGTGGGCACACGATGACGCGACGATCGGTGGCCACCCGCCCCTTGGGGCAGCTGTGGGACTCATAGCCTTGACTGATTTAGGGTTTAGGGTTTAGGGTTTAGGGTTTAGGGTTTAGGGTTTAGGGTGTAGGGTTGATCTTACTGATTCCCATCAGATCGTCTATCTGTCTATATCTATCCACTATCTAGTCTGTCTATCAAAGCATGTATATGAGAGGGCACCTGTGCGAAGTGAAGCCAACGAGCGGTTTTGGGATGTCGTGCCGAGGACTGCGGAAGAACAGTCAAAAATAGTTTAAAACGTTCCAAACGCCAACCCAGCCACTGAAATGCTTCGAGCAGTAGGCTTTGCCACATGCATCGCACTCGAAAGGGAGAAGGTCCTGCGGTTTAGGGTTTAGCGGGGTTTAGGGTGTAGAGTTTATAGGTTTAGGGTTCAGGGTTTAGGGTTTCGGGTTTAGGGCTTAAGATCCTGCTGCTTGCAATAGGGGTCGGAACAATGCTTGCCACAGTCGCTGAAGTTTGCCATGGCTGCTGAACCAAACTCAAAGGGCAACCAATCCGAGTTCAAAATTGAGCCTCTTGCTGCGAGAGAGAATACAACCCTGAAAACCCCAAACCCTAAACCCTGAACCCTAAACCCTAAACCCCAAACCCCAAACCCTAAACCCTAAACCCCAACAGCTTTCTTTGGGTTGTTACAGGTCCGACTCTTTTCCCAATGGCCCATCCCATTGAAGGATCGCTAGAATCAGCCCCCAACATACCTTCCGAAACCCCTCAACCCTAAAACTGTCACGCTAGTTGAGGCTTCACTTGGCTTGGCTAGGTAGCGTCGAACCACCCAAACAGGACCGAGGGGGGCGCAAGTGCTGCGTGGCCGCAGGTGCTTGCGTGGCGGGCAGGCGCAGCTCTGGTGTCAAACCCACTTAGAGATCTCGGCTTATGGTGTAGGCATTTGACTGCTTTCGCATTGGTGTTTCTTTCACGATGTGCATTTAATGAATGATTGGGGTATCGAGCTTGAGTGATGGTTTTTGTGGTCCATTGGTATGCCTTTCATGGCTGGCTTGGGGGTGTCTAGGGTTTAGGGCAACTGCCCACAATGGCTGCGGAGATACAGGCAACCCCTAAACCCTAAACCCTAAACCCTAAACTCTTAAACGCTGCACCTACACACCGCCACTGCGACATCCCAGTGTCCACTGCCCACCAGGATCCGAGATGAACCGCCGCGGAACCTGCGGCAGGCGTCGTAGGGCATGGGGGTTCTTGGAGGTTAAGGTTTAGGAGGGTTTAGGGTTTAGGGTTCAGGGTTTAGGGTTTAGGGTTTAGGTTTAGGGTTAACCCTATTAGAACTTTGGCTAAGCCACTTATAAGCCCCTGTAGTATCCTAATATGGTCATACAAGTGGGTTATGAAGTGCAAGTTTTGATTGGGTTATTAAGCACCCTGAACCCTAAACCCTAAACCCTAAACCCTTAACCCTTGGGTTTATTCAGTGCCCAGAACCTCCCAGCGTAGAAGGTTTCGAGTGTTTCGTAAGGGGTTTAGAAGGTTCAGCAGGATTTGGGAGCCTTGAAGACGTTAAGGTTGCGAAGGTTTAGGGAGTTTAGGGTTTGGAAGGATGAGTATTAAGGGTTGATAATTAGTAGATTGCTTTTTGCTGTCCAAGTGCTTTGGGACATGGCTGCACGAACTACGGCCCCTTGTTGTGTGCCCTAAACCCTAAAAAAACGGCAAGAGACAAGAGTTTAGAAACAGACTACGTGGACCTTCGAGTTTAAGGTTTTCGCGGGACCCTACATCCTAAACCCTTCGCCAAAGCTCGAATATGAAACAGAGTCCAACTGGGGCTGATAAGGAACTCAAATTACGTTGCCGTTGCAGTCGCAAGGAAGAACGCTTCGTTGATTCATTACCATTTGTCGAAAAACTGTGGTACATTGACCTAAACCCTAAACCCTAAACCCTAAACCCTGAACCCTGAACCCTAAACCCTAAACCCTAAACCCTAAACCCTAAACCCTAAACCCTAAACCCTAAACCCTAAACCCTAAACCCTAAACCGGGTCTAGGGTTACCACCAAACCAGTGAAAACCGCCAATCATGGCACGAGTAGCCAGCACGCCCACGCTGCTTGGGTTCGCACCTGCCCACGGAAGCACTGGAAACTTCAAGGGACGAACTAGCGGCAGTTGAGTCGAATAGCCAGCTGTTTAGGGTTTAGGGTTTAGCGTGTAGGGTTTAGGGTTTAGGGTTTAGGGTTTAGGGTTTAGGGTTTAGGGTTTAGGGTTTAGGGTTTAGGGTTTAGGCGGGGATGTGTCTTGAGGCAGTTGAGACATAGGTGAAATTTCAGATGTAGGGTTTAAGGGTTTAGGGTTCAGGATTCAGGATTTAGGGCAGTAAGAATGTTGTTTTTTTCTTCTGGGGTTTTAGGAGTTTAGGGTTGTAGGGCCCTAAACCCTAAATCCTAAACCCGAAACCCTAAACCCTAAACCCTCAGACCTCGGCGCAGCACCCGGTCTAGCCAGTCGTGGAGATCCAGACGATGGGTCGTTTCCTCTCCTGAGGGATGGCGGAATGTAGGGTTTAGGGTTTAGGGTTTCGGGTTTAGGGCTTGGGGGTTTAGGGGGTTCAGGGTTTGGGGTTGAATCTTTCGGGTTTGGGGCTTAGGGCTTGGGTTCGGGGTTTTTTGGTGTTTAGGGGTTAGGGGTTTGAGGACTGGCAGGCCAGCATCGGATGATCTCAGCAAACGTCTCGCGCCAACTTCCTGGGAAGACCTGCCAGCCATGATCACGGTATGGTGTCTCCATCGTTTTTCTTGAAAGCACCTCCTTCCCGGTACCCGAATAGGATGTTGAGGGTTTAGGGTTAGGGTTTGGGGTTTAGGGCTTAGGGTTTAGGGTTTAGGGTTTAGGGTTTTAGGATTTTAGGGTTTAGGGTTTAGGGTTTAGGGTTTAGGGTTTAGGGAGCCTAAGCCCTCGGAGGAGTGTCGATTAAGGATGAGCCAGGTCCCCTCATTGAAGCTCGATGAAGCTAAAACCCTACCAGGGTTTAGGGATTGGGGTTTACGTTCTAAGTATGATCCTCTCAAACCCAATAACAATGCGAATGAAATCTCCTCAGAGACTACGCAGCTTAAGAAAGGTGTCCTATAACCCAGGTGCTCAGTGTCGGGAGCTGCACTTATACCTCCGAGGGTCTAGGGAAGGATGCGTAGTTGTCCAGGCGCAGCGGCCTTTCGGCTTCGCCCAAACACTGCACGACTCGTTCGTGGGAGCATTGTACGTGGAGGATGCTTTCCGCAAGGAGTTTGCGTGTGAAAAGGCGCGGATCGGCGGCCCCTCGTCTATGGAGCTGATTGAGGTAGTAGGTTGGGATGTTCACCGTTTATGCGAAGAGGCCTTAATAGCGATTCTCGTGCCCTCCATTAATAATCCCATTTGGGGTTTAGCTGGCAAGAGCCTCATGGGTTCCCCTACTACCGCGTCTAAACTACCCCCCTAGGTTCCCCCCGTAAATAAGGCTACTTCGGGCTAATTAAGCCCTATGCAGGTTATTCAAAGGTGGCCCTAAACCTGAAACCCTACTAAAGAGGGGGGTAGTTGGGAAAACCCTGAGGGAAAGAGCCACAGAGTCTGAGTCTTGGCTGCCACCGGCCTGCATCACGTCCGAGACGCAGAGAGGCCCACCTGCAGGAGAGGTTTAGGGTTTAGGGTGTAGGGGCTAGGGTTTAGGGTTTACGGTTCGGGGAAAAAGGTTTGGGGTTTAGGGTTTGGGGTTTAGGGTTTAGGGTTTGGGGTTAATTAAGGGTTTGGGGTTTAGGGTTTGGGGCTGAGGGTTTAACCAAGTCCTAAACCCTAAACCCCAAAGACGTCTGGAGGCCTACCTTTCTGCCCGGGCGCCTATCCGCTCGCCGCCCGACTCACACCAGAAGGGCGCCAAAAACTCCTGCCAATGAGACCCTGCGAGTGGGTTTAGGGTTTAGAGTTTAGGGTTTAGGGTTTAGGGTTTAGGGCTTCGGGCTCAGGGTGACGGGCTTGGGGTGGTTTAGCAGGCATTTTCGGCTCCGTGCGAACCCCAAAATCCCAGAAACTGGCGATAACGTTCAGGGCGGAATGACCCTGACTCTTTGATAGGCAAAAAAAACTTTCCTTCGGGCTTGGGGCATTGGGCAACTTCCACGGAATAAACACCCAAAACCCCAACATCCTACACCCCCCCCAAACCCTACAACCCCTAGAACCCAAAACCCCAAAACCCCAAAACCCCAAAACCCCAAAACCCCTAAACCCTAAACCCGCACTCCTAAACCCTAAGCCCGCAACCCTAAACCCCTAAAAAGCCTGCGAAGCCAACTGGAGTTTTTCGTCTGTCCTCGCCACGACGCCAGGCCTTGGATTGGAGTTGAGGGTTGAGGGTTGAGGGTTTTGGGGTGTAGCGTGTAGGGTTTTGGGTTTTGGATTTGAGGGCTCAGGCTTGGCCCAATTCTGACCGAACGTACAACCCACCTACAATCCCAATCGGATACTTAAGGGGCTTGTTAAACTGGTTATAAGTGCAATTAACTTAACTTAGGTTTCAAGCACCTTGAACCTGCAAGTGCAGGCTTCTGGATTTCAGAGTTTTGAGGTTAAGGTTTAGGGTTCAGGGTTTAGGGTTGGGGGTTTAGGGTTTAGGGGTGCAGTACCACTCGAGATGAAGGAATTGTGGTGTCCTGCTGGAGCGTTTTAAGGGTGCCCGCCGCATAGCTCAGGAGGAGGACGCGCGGCCCCACAAAGCAAGCGCGAGCCAAGCCCTTGCAAGCCCTCAACTAGGGTTTCTACGGGTTTTCATGGGGAGAACATAGGGTCCTTAGTGGTTCGAAGAGGGTTTTTGGGGGTTGCTATAGTACTATCTGACCGTGAGGGAAGACGATTGGCAAGTATTCCGACCCCTATATTGCATGGGGGTTCGGCCTCATTGGACTTCAACATGCGTTCCACAATCAACCCTGGCTGACGACTACTTGACGGTTCATGGTAGCTACAGGTAGGGTTGTAGGTAACTGAGGCTTGTACCACTTATAGCTATAGTTCTCCTACTTGTATCGCCCGGACGTAAGTACCCATGAGCCTCCAAGTTGGTTGGCAACCTGCACTCTGAACTAAATAAAGCTCATAAACCCTAAAAGCCTAGAGCCTAAATCAAGCTTAAACCCCCCGAAAACCATTAACATCCAGAAGTCCTCCAGTCTTAAACCCTAACCCCTGAAATCTCAGGAGGCTAGAGAAATGGCTGGACACCAAGACCCTAAACCCTAAAATCTAAATCCCAAGCCTGTAAACTTTAAACTCGAAACCCTAAGCCTGAACCCGAAACCCTAAACCCTAAACCCTAAACCCTAAACCCTAAACTCGGCCGCAGTCGAGGAGCCCGCTGCAAGGTGGGAACCAGGGAGTGCTTCCTTGGGGGAGGAGGAAGTTGACCCTGCAAACCATCTAGGGTTTAGGGTTTAGGGTTTAGGGTTTAGGGTTTAGGGACCC